GTGGGGAAAGTCTGGGAGGACTTGAAGGGTTTGTCCAGGTACATAGGATTGAAACTCTGTCTGTGTGTGTGTGTGTGTGTAGTGTGTGTGTGTGTGTTTGGCGGGGTAATGCTTCAATCCAGTGACAGTCTTGGGTCACCTAGAGACCCATTGTTTTCTTGGAAACATGTTCAGCCAGCCAGTCAGCCAACCAACCAAAAAAGCAAGAAGAGGAGCTGGAGATCTGGCTCAGCTGCTAGAGCACTTACCTAGCATGCAGCAAGCCCTGAGCTCAGTCCCCAGCACCATGTCAAACCTGGTGATAGGGAGCAAACTTGGGTTTTCTTTCATTCTTTCTTTCTTCCTTCCTTCCTTTCTTCCTTCCTTCCTTCCTCTTTTTTTTTTTTCTCAGAAAATGGAAGTAATGTTGCCTGGAATGCCATTCCGCTGCCTGGAACTCACTAATGTCCCATGTTGGTCTCAAACCTGAGATTTTTCTTGTTTTGCCTATAGGGTTCCAGGAAGATGCCCTAACTGCTGAGACCCTTTGCATGTCTTTCTGGCATCAGAGTGTGTGTATTTATAGCCGTAATACTGGGCCTTGGGCACATGTGGCTGGTGCCTCCTGCAGTGGGCAGCACAATTCTAGAGTCCCTTTGGACCCAGAGCCAGCTTCATTTCCTTGGGGCCCTATCTGAATAGGGAGCTTGGCAGCTCTGGGTTGAAGGTCATTCTTTGTGTCATAGCCAGAGTCGCAAAGGAGGGAGTTTGCCGAGAAGCTGGAGTCCCTGTTGCACCGGGCCTACCACCTGCAGGAAGAATTCGGTTCTACCTTCCCCTCTGACAGCATGCTGCTGGACCTTGGTGAGCAGGATCATGAAGGCTGCTGCAGGCCTGAGATGCCAGGAACAGAGGTCAGGGATGAAGGAGGAGAACCAGGGCTTGGATCACCAGTGCCACAAACAAATCACAGTTCCTGGAACCTCATTGAATAAATAGGGAAACTGAGGTATTCCCTTAAAGATGGCAGATAGACATTGAAGCAAGATGAGGTTCCAGGAGTCCTTAGTTAGTGTGCCATGCCCTGGCCTCTTGGGAGCACCCGTGGGTTGTGTGTCTACATCTCCTGGATAGGTCTTCAGGCCTCTTGGGTCACATGGTAGTTAGCCAAAAGTGGGCTGAGTGCCACAAACAGAAGTTCTCCTGTCACTTGGTGGAGGTGAAGGGGTGTGAACCACAGAGAGGAAATCAGCTTGTTCAGCCCATACTTCTCATGTCTGCTATGTGTCTGGCCTTTCCCAGAGTGCACTGAGCCAGTTCTGCAGGCCACATCCTCCCTAGTTTCTTGACATTGGCCTCAGTGTGGCTTTGCCTGCTGGAAAACTCATTCCCTTGGATCTTCCTCTATAACTGAAGTTGATAGGACTTTCAAGGTGACCACTATTTGACACACCTTTCCTGAGTGGCCTGGAAGGTCCTGACCCCAAGACTCTAGAGCTGGCAGATAATGGAATGTTGGTTAATTGCCCTGTGGATGCCCTTAAGGCAGTTTCAGCCTTTTAGAAAGGCAAACAGTAAATTGAGTGGTGGTGGCGCATGCCTTTAATCCCAAAGGGAGACAGAGGCAGGTGGATCCCTGAGTTTGAGGCCAGCCTGGTCTATGGAGTAAGTTCCAGGACAGCCAGGGCTACACAGGAAAACCCTGTCTCGGAAAACCAAAACAACGAAGAACAAGAAAGGAAACACTCACTAGGCAGGGCCACACAGAGCACTGGAATGGGTATTGAGATGACCCTGTTGTTATTACACAGCTCAGGGTAGCTCTGCCCACGTCTGCCCCAGACTGAGCCTCTGGGGGTGTGGGGATCAGTGCTGGGGGCAGGCCAGGATCCCTACAGCACTATGGGTCTCAGCTCAGTCCACTCCCTTCTAGAGAGGACCCTCATGCTGCCCCTGACTGAGGGCTCACTGCGCCTTCGGGCCGATGATGAGGACAGCCTGACCTCGGAAGACTCTTTTTTCTCAGCCACTGAGGTGATTGGCTTGGGGGACCAAGTTGGGTTGGGCCAGGCCTAGGTTGGGCCAGCACTAGGTTGTGGGGAAGTAAGGTTATTTTCTTGGGTGGGTACCAAACCCTGCTTCCTCGAGACTCTGAAATGCCAGGGCAGGGAGGTCTGAGCAGCCAGGGGTTATGGATCTGAATGGTCAGAGCAGAGGTGTACCTGCCTCCAGCTAAACCACACCCAGCTTTAGTTTCTCTAATCCATTCAGTCCTTTGGTTAGCATTAGTCTGCTACTAGGCTGGAGCAAAGGGCATGATGTCCATGCTTGGAACAGGAAGATGGGAGCATGTGTCCAGTGGACAGTCCCTTTGGTAGAAGTGCTAAGGTCTAAGGCTGGATGCTAACAGGGCCTCCTGTCTCATGAGGCTAGTGTGTCTTTGGCATCTCCATGATGAGCCATAGTCAGGCCCCTTGAGTGTTCCCTGTTGGTGTGGCCCATAGCTCTGGCCTCTGGGGTGCTGCTCACTGGCCTCCTTGGCCCCCTCTCCAGCTCTTTGAGTCTTTGCAGGTTGGAGATTACCCGCTCCCTCTCTCCAGACCTGCTGCTGCCTATGAGGAGGCTCTGCAGCTAGTGAAGGAGGGCAAAGTACCCTGCCGAACACTCAGGTGAGAGCACGTGGAGGCTGTGGGTGGGCTCCAGCCCTGGGGAAGAGGTTCAGAGGCCCACAGTACCTGGCAAGGACTCACACTGGGCATGACTGGCCCATCCTACCATAGCAGAGGTCAAGAACAAACCCAGAAGGCCAGATGTGGTGGCACATGCCTTTATCCCAGCTTTTGGGAGACAGAAGCAGACAGATCTCTGCGTTTGAGGACAGTCTGGTCTACAGAGGGAGTTCCAGGACAGCTAGGCTGTTATATCTAGAACCCTGTTTCAAAAAAAACAAAAACAAAAAAACCCACAAACCCAGATCCAGGACATAGCTTCGTGGTAGAATACTCACTTGGCTGGCACAGGACCTGAAAAAGACACCCATACCTTTGAAAAAGACACCCATACCTTTAGAAAGCTAGGCTTGTAGCCATACTTCTTAGTGTGTGACCTTGACGGAAGTTCTCTTGTGTCAACCCCTGTGCTCTTCTGTGCTTACATGTAGGTCTCTTAATCGTCTCTCTCTCTCTCTTTATTTTTTAAAGATTTTATTTATTTATTATGTATACAACATTCTGCTTCCATGTGTATCTGCACACCAGAAGAGGGCACCAGATCTCATAACAGATGGTTGTGAGCCACCATATGGTTGCTGGGAATTGAACTCAGGACCTCTGGAAGAGCAGTTGGTGCTCTTAACCTCTGAGGCATCTCTACAGCCCCGTCTCTCTCTTTTTTAAAAATAGTTTATTTATTTATATTTTATGCACATCAGTGTTTTGCCTGCAGGTATGTCTGTATGAGGGCATTGGATCCCCTGGAACAGAGTTACAGACAGTTGTAAGCTGCCATGTGGGTGCTGGGAATTGAACTCAGGTCCTCAAGAAGAGAATCCAGTGCTCTTAACCATCTCTCCAGCCCTCTTGTCTCTTTTGGATAGAGTACTTGACAGTCTTGTATATCCCAGGCTGGCCTTGAACTTGAATTTGCTGTGTAGCTAAGAATGACCTCCAGCTGCTGAGTGCTTGGATTAGATGCATGTGCCACCATTCCAAGATTGTTTTCCAGACAAACTTGGTTTCTCTGTGTAGCCCTGGCTGTCTTGGAACTCATGTGGTAGACCAGGCTGGCTTCAAACTCACAGAGATCACCTCTGCCTTCCAAGTACTGGGATAAGGGCATGTGCCAATGCCACCCAACAAGAAAATGTTATTATGACATTTTCATACATTCATACGTGGTATATTTTGATCATATTCAACCCATCCTCCTCCCCTTCTTGTTGATACCTCTTTCCATCTGTGTGTGTGTGTGTGTGAGAGAGAGAGAGAGAGAGAGAGAGAGAGAGAGAGAGAGAGAGAGAGGGAGAGAGGGAGAGAGCGCAAGAGTGAATGTAAGCCAGTGAGTAGTTGCCTTAGGGTTGCCTCCAGAAGCATAGAGCATGGGTGAGGGCTGTTTTGGGAGCATGGACACCTTATCAGTGGGTACACTACAAAAGAGAATGTCACTTTCTTCCCATCAGTGTTAACTGCATATGAACCATAAATCTTCAGGGAGAGCAGTGCTCTCTGCCCCCTGAAGTAAACCTTGCTGAGTTGTGTGGACTCAGCACTTTGTTTTCTGGTCATGGCTTGCATGGTTTAAAAGTCCACTGACTAAAAACAGCAGAAAGCTCTTCGAGTTTTGTAGTGACTTAGAGAGAGATGGCATATGGAACTGGTTGACCATTTTGGTCATTTGTCTGGGAGCAGTGATGGCTGATTGTGGCCTAAAGCAGACTGAAGTCAGCCTAGGCACTGTAGTTATAACTGCCACCTGTGCCCAGGATCAGAGGGGTCAGTGAGGTCCCAGAAAACATCCAATCAGCCTCTGCCTTTGACTGGGGAACAATTGAGCATCAAGGGAGTCTGGCACCAGCCAGAGGTCACACTGCCAGGCTGAGGCAGTTGGACTCTTGCCCCCTCCTCTTTGCCCAAGGTATACCTGCCCTCCATTGGGTCTTTGCTAGGCAGGACCAGGTGGCATGACACCATCTGTTCCTCTCCTCAGGACAGAGCTGCTGGGCTGCTACAGTGACCAGGACTTCCTGGCCAAGTTACACTGTGTACGGCAGGCCTTTGAGGTGGGTGTGGTTCAGGGACCACTGGGGAGGGTGCTGGGCCTGCTCTACACAGGGCCACTCTGCCTAGCCATGACTCTGCCCTCTCCATGGGCTCTGGGAGCTGCCAGCTCACCCCCTTCTTTCTTCAGGGGCTTCTGGAAGAAAGGAGCAACCAGGTCTTCTTCGGGGAGGTCGGCCGGCAGATGGTGACAGGCCTGATGACCAAGGCTGAGAAGGTAGTGGGGGTGGGGCTGTTGTTTGAGATTTTCTTGCCCACAACCTCTCCCTCCAAAACCTTATAGCTGGTTGGTGTTTGCTTTGTTTTGTTTTGTTGACTGTCGACTGGCTCTTTAACAACACCAAACTAGGGCCTCTTGAGATGCTCCGTGGGACTGTGACCTAAGGAAGATCCCCAAAACCTATGGTGAAAAGGGAGACCAAGTCTCAAAAGCTGTCCTAACCTCCACATGCAGCCTGTGGTATGGGTGTGCCCACACTGACATGAACACCATAATAATTAAGACAACACTGTTTGGGGCTGAGACAATTGCTCAGTTGGTAAAGTGCTGGCTGTGTGAGCATGAGGACCTGAGTTCAGAACCCGACTATTAAAAAGCCATGTGTGGTAAGGTGTGTTGTAACCCCAGTGCTGTGGAGGTGGAAATGGCAAGATCCTTGGGGTTCCTGGCCAGCCAGTCTAATTTGGTGATTCCCTAGCCCCATCAAGACACCCTGTCTGAGGAATGACACCTGACCTCTTCCTATGTGGCCTGCACACATACAAACACAAGTAGAGGAGTCCTCGCATCTTCCTATGGCCAAAGGGTCCTGGAAAGGCTGCTGGATCCCTCCCAACCTGAAAACCCTATTCCAACTTGGAAGTCTAGAGACTTGAACTCTCTCTTACTTGTGGTTCCAACAGCTCAGCTTTATAAAACTGACCAGTTATGAAATTCAGACTGCAAGCTGGGTGTTGGTGGCGCACGCATTTAATCCTATACTTGGGAGGTAGAGGCAGGCTTATCTGTGAGTTCAAGGCTAGCCTGGTCTACAGAGCAAGTTCCAGGACAGCCATAGCTTCACAGAAAATCCCTGTCTCAAAAAACCAAAAGCAAACAAACAAAAGAAATGCATACCACAGAATGTCCCCTGCATCTGTCCAAGGCAGCCCTTGCTAAAGTCCCAGATCTACTCTATGAGCATTCTGACCATGGTGCCATCGGCTACCACCCCAGCCTGTGCCCAAACCTTTTGCTTGGTTGTATCACAGGGTAACTCCTCCACCTTCCCACTCCAGCATGCTGGGGTGGGAATTAGTGACTACACAGCCCTCCATCTTGTGGGCTGGCTCTGGTGTGTCCTGTTCCCTGGTCGGCAGGCATCTTGGTGGCATCTACTGTTCTTCAGGTGTTAAGGGCTGTCATCATCCCTACACAGACTCCATGGGAACATTTGAGGTCTCTGTCTAAGGATCTCGCTAGTTCACGTAGGTCCCAGTTGGCAACAGAAGAGTTTGTGTCCTCATGTCTTGGCCAATACGGGGTTTTTGTAATCTTAACCTTTGTCACTCTATGCGTGGCTCTTTGATTGTGGAAGAGGTTGCATAATTTTTCTGTATTCATTACTCACGTGTTCTTTTGTTAATGGATTGGAGCAAATTTCTTTAGAGAGGGTCTTCTGTAACAGGACAGCCATGTGGCTGAGGTGACTGTGAACTCCTGACCCTCTTCCATCTCCCTCCTAAGTGATAGGATTACAAGCACGCAAGCCATGCCCAGCTTCTTTAGTTATGGTTAACACATTTTTAGACTTTTATTTTGTGTGCATGAGTATGGGGGCATGTGCACACACCACAGTTTATGAGTGAAGGACAGAGGACAACTTGGTTCTCTTCTTCTACTATATGGGTTCAGGGTTGGACTCCAGCTGTCAGGATTGTGGTACATACCTTTGCTACTGCAACATCTCCCTGGCTCTCTCTCTCTCTCCCTCTCCCTCTCCCTCTCCCTCTCCCTCTCTCTCGCCTTTGCTACTGCAACATCTCCCTGGCTCTCTCTCTCTCTCTCTCTCTCTCTCTCTCTCTCTCTCTCTCTCTCTCTCTCTCTCTCTCTCTCTCTCTCTCTCTCACACACACACACACA